ACAAAGTGCACGCAGGAGGTCACGCCTGCATGCACAGGGGCACGGGGGTCGTGCGTGCATGTACAGAGGGGTTGTGCATGCACGCATGAGGTGGGGTGCATGTGGGGGTCACACATGCATGTGTGGCGGCAGCATGGGGGTCACACACACACATGTGCAGGGCAGGGGTGGGTTTCTCGCCCTGTTCCAAACGGTTCGGTTGGAACGGGGCCGGCGGCGTCCTCGTGCACGTGCGCGGTGCACGCATGCGTACTAGCGTCTGTGCGATGCTCCAGCTGCTCCTGGAGGATCGCGCAGGTGCTGTATGCGTCCTGCGCATGCGTGGAAGCGCAGAACTCGTCAAAACCGGGTAAGGACCGTGGGCAGGCGGGTGCGCCCTTCACCGTTCCCGGAAGTTACTTACTTCCGGGTTTGCCGACCAACCGGTTCGCAGGGACTGCCGCGAACCAGTTGAAACCCACCCCTGTATTGTAGGGACTAGAGATTTTTATTTCAGTGTATGGAAAGACTACCAATGCTGTGGCCTCCAGGTGAATGAACCTGGACTAATGTGGCATTTATAAGGATCGAGTTCTAGATCCCTGGTGTAGATGCTCCTTCAAGGCACTTGATGTTCCCAAACTGGGCCTGAGTTTGGTGGGTTCTAATAATCCACATTAATCAGAACAATTGGAGCTGGAAAACCACATGTTCCCAAGCATCATACCCAGGTACATTTTGGAAGCATGCCAGCAATTGTCACTTTAGGGATTAACAACAGATTTTGCAGTAAGCAACTGCAAATTCTGCCTTACTCAATGTTGCCAATGGAAGGGAAGAACTGTGACATTGTAATATGTCACCAATGGGACCCTGATGTGAAGCTGTATCACTATCTAACCCATCTTAAATTGGAACTTGGTTCTTCTACATATTTATCACTGTTGCCATTCTTTTCTTCATAATTGCATTTTTATTACACCTGATTGATTGGACCACTGGGGCTAATTTAGCTCTACATGAAAGAGAAGAAACTGTGCACAGTAAAGTCTGTAAACAATGATAAACATTTATAATATCATAAGAAAATTGGGGTTTATTGTTCGATCTAGGAACATAACAAAGCAGTCAGGTATCGAGAGGAACAAACTTCCTGACTAATCTTACCTGCATTGGATCTTTCGTCCAAGTTTAGGGCTTTCAGTTTCCTTGTTGAACTGGGAATACATGTTTTGGTCATGCTCGTGTTCAAATTCTTCTTCGTTGTACACCTTTCTGTTGATGTTATATATCACCCTTAGTGGCACTCTGTCATTGATAGTATTTATATCTGGCTCCATTTCATTATATTGATCCTGACATTTAAAAAATAAATCTATTAAATCAAAAGAACATTTTATTTTGTGTCTCTTTTGTGCTATTGTTTCATGGTTCACAATACTTCGGAAATTCACGCTCATGTTCAAACAGAATGAGGCTGGTTTCTGTCGATTAGCCTCATGGTCACTATGTAATATCTGTTCTCAGAATAGGAAAACATTCAGTAAAGAAAAAAAATCACTTGTGAAGTCTCAGACACAATTTAAAACAAAGGATTCACCACTGGAACTCTCCTATCTCTCATGCTTTTTCTTACTTTTCTTATTTATTTAATGCAGCGTGAACTTTTAATGCAATGTTCACACACACACACACACACACACTTCTTAATCTGAAGGAAATTCAGAAATGGGTCCTCTCTGAGCCAACATATGCAGGTTATGTGAGAAAGAACCTCCCAAAAACTATTGTTTGTTTGTTTATGAAATTTATATTGCCAACTATTCACATATGGCGACTCAAGGCAGCTTACAAGAATATAAAAACCTCATATAAAAAACAATAAAACTAATAAAAGAGAGAATCATATAATAAATTAATATAACAAAATAATAACTCCCTGCCCTCTGCCCCAGCAACAACACATCACAAGAGCCATTTAATGGGCTCCATCCCACTCTTTATCCCCTTTTCCTCAGAACTAATAATCATTCTTAGTTAATTTGAGACTAATTTGAGAGGGAGAAGCAGTCCTGGCGAGGAACCACTGTGAAAACTGTGCAATGTAAGGATAGTTTTAATACTGCTAAAAATGTCTCTTGCTAGCTGTTATGTGATATTACAAAAAAAGGGTTAACTGACTTTGAGTCTTTCTCCACTTTGACTCATCAAAACAACAATTTAACCAATTTCGTTGTATTTAAGTACAATGACAATAAAGATTATACTTATGCTTATCTGCCATATCCTCATGATATTATTTTATCTGCTTCCCAGTTTACTAGTGATTAAAATCACTAATAAGTGATTACA